TAAGAGCAGGTTGAGGGGTTGCCATGGTGGAAAGGGAACTAGAATCAGGAGGTATAGAGGCCACCAGTGGTCTGAATGTAAGCACTAGCAAAGGTTGATTCCATCAGCCTCTTGCTGAGGAGGAAGAAAAGGAAACTGGGGAGGCTGGAGAAGGAGAGGGGGATGGGCTTTGAGACCCGTGGCAGGAAAGCTGGTTAGTTGGATCCAAAGTAATGGAAGAATCATATTATTCAGACTTTATGACTAGGAGTTGTGTGGGGGAATAGGAAGGAGAGAGAAAGTGCTTGGGGCAAAGGGAAGAGAAAGCTTGGGCATAAGGAATCTCTTTCCATTTCCCTGATTGCTTGCAATAGCTGGCAAGATCCTGAAAAATATTGAGATTGGGGGTGCTGTGGGGATGCCATTTAGTTTGATCATCTAGGGGGAATTGTGCAGAATTTGATTGCAAAGTTGAACAGGTTTATGACCCTTCAGGTTGGGTGCCAGATGATCCCATCTGGCACAGATCCTCGAGTTCTTGCAACAGCAATGAAAGGGTACAGAAGACAGTGTTCCCACAGTGAGATGTGAAGGGGAGGGTAAGAAAAAAAATGGTCAGTGCAGTCTGTAGTTGAAGACATTCCCAGACCTCAAAAGACTTAATGAGAACAAAGTTATTTAATAGGTTATTACCACACTCAACAGGGTATGGAATCAGGGCTCATAGCCTGAATAGGAGACTTGATTTCTGGCATCGGGGCTTTGGATGAATCCCCAAGGCTTGCCTACAGGCAACGAAAAGCTGAGGTCAGAAATGAGGCCTCATCCACAGGAAAGGGCTGGGGAACAGGACTATGCAAAAGCAGAACTATGCAAAAGGGCATGGAGGAGTTCTGGGGTTGTGGGCAGCTCCAAATGGAAAGGAAGAGAAGAGGGCAGGAAAGGCTGCAATAGCCTGATTTGGCTTAAGTAAGTTGCAGGATTACACATCTAAGTATGGTGTTTTGGGGTCAGGATAAGAGGGCCAGTAATATCCCTGAAAGACAATAACTGAAGGTACGTCAGCCTCTAAGAGTACCAGAAGGGTGCGGAACACTAAACAGTCACTTCTTTGGACTCAGTGAAGCATATACACCAACTGAAGAGGGAACTTACCAAGTTGTTACTGGGTGGTGCAATGCTGAGAAATTGAAATTGAACAATAAGTAAGCCTGAAAGCGAATCTGTTGCAACTGCATCTGAGATGAGGGAGAGGGTCCCAGTGTGATTCAGACACTGAGAGGGAGCCTAGGCCCCAGGAGAGCCTACCTAACCTAGTTAGCAACCAAGGTAATTGTTACAGGTCTGAGGGGAAAAGCTTCCCCAATGGAGATGTCACAGCTCTGAAGGGAAAGGTATCCTGCCAGTCAGAAGACAAGGAATGCCACAAAGTCATACTGAAAAGAAAATCTCCTATGAGATTGGAGGGACACAGGAGAGTGGCTACCTCTGCCCAAGCAAGAAACAGCAGAGAACAGAGCAAGAAGCAGGCTTTATATAAAGTTTCTAGGGGAACGGAGTTTTCTAGGGTGGCGATTTCTAAGGTGGGGAATTGGTGAAATTTCAAGCAAAGCCAAATGATAGTTGGGGAAATTTTGTGCTCAGGTATTGGTAGGTGTTCAGGCTCAGGAACTGGTGGGTTGGGAGGATCAGAGATTGGGGGTAATTTGAGCTCAGGGAGAGGTGAGTATTGGCAGTTTTCAAACCCAGAAGTGAACACGGACCATTTACCCGTTAAGTAGATATACCATCTTCTTAAACATTTAAAATACCTTATAATCAATAAAAATAATAATTCTTATATATACAAGTGAAACGATATAAATTTTACAATAGTTTTTTTAACTATATAAAATAAGTAGGGAGCAAGATAAACGAAATAATTTAGAATTCTGCCTACTCGTCAGTGCTTTCAGTTCAGGCAGAGAAAAGGAGTCTACCCTTACTTTAAAAGACTGTTAAAATGCAGTGTCTGTTTTACAGTCTGTTCCCAACCTATCTGCCGACAGGAATAAAGATAAGAACTTTCTTTAATATCTTAGTGAGTTTCTAGGATAAGTTTTATTCTTTGTGTTATAGTCTTCTTTGTGCTATATTCTTTGTGCTATATTCAATAATGAATGTCTGCTAATTTAAATAAAAATTAAAACAATTAAGATATATACATCCCTTACAAACAAAGGGGTGTCTGGAAGTACATAGCTTGGATTTGTTGAGAATAAATATGCCCAGAAATTACAGTGTAATCAATGAATTCCCAAAATAAATAAGTTGCCATTGCCTGGAAGTAGAAGTATTCATTTTCCCATTGAAGACTGCATTTGGCTTATTGAAACAGTGTCTAGAGAATAGCTAATATGTGTGGTCTCACACTATAACTTCAGAGAACAGTGTATTATTCTGATCATAGAAAGTATTTACTCAGCTGTGAACATACACCTCAGAGATGATGTTTTGAGAAGTCCAAACTAGAGAGCTGTTGTTTGTATCGATGGTCCCACGCAACACTAGAAAGGACTAGGTTCACCTATAGCTGTTGGTGGAAGGGATATTGCCACCAGCTCTGTTCTTTCTAGAGCTCTATCCTGTTGTCAGGTTGTCACCTCTGGGCGTAAATCTTCAGTATCTCCTGCCGCCATGACCACCTCTGTCATTATTACTAAAGCTGAGACCCAAATGAGCTTCGAATATGGACATATGACTTTTATGTTGAATGAATTAAAATTAATTAATTCGGTGAATGAGTTCCAACTCATTGCCTCACTGGTAACATCTTTGTGTTCACACCTTCCTTTCCTACCCGTTCTTTCCTTGTCCTGCTCTCCATTTTACTTCTCTTCATTTTTATTATTTGCAAAATGTAAATTGACATACACATTAAGGTTCAATGTACTATTTCCAAACACATTTTGTTGCTAATTCTCCCTGAGTTCCTCTCCAACTTTTTTCTCGCCTTCCATGGTTTGATATATTGTCCCACACAGGTATTTTCTGCTTCACGTCATATGTGGCCTTACCTACCTTTCATTATTGCCTCTTTTCCTTCTGTGGTGGGCTTCCTTCTAATTCTCTAGCCTATTACCTCCACGTCTATGCATACATATATATAAGCACAATCCAAAGGGACTCATGAGACATTAAGAAAACATTGTCATTCTGAATCAGAGTCACCTTCATGGATTTTCCAGCATTTTCGTTTTGGAAATTTTATAATTTCATTTTCTTACAGCTAAATAAAACTGCATTATGAATATATTCCATATTCATTTTCCATTCATCCGTTAATGGGTATCTAGACTGGTTTCCTTTCCTTGCTGTTGTGAATAGAGCAGCGCTATCACAGGTGGCCCAGTATCTGTTTGTAACTGTGTGGGTGCATATCATTCATACAACACAAATTCCTGGAAAGCAGTTACTACCCTCCATGATAGGATAAGTTCCTTGGACTTTTAACTAAGGAAAGAAGTGATATTTTATTGATCCTGAAATTATCTGATACTTTTGAAGAAGTGTATCCCTGCCATCAATTATGAATTCCCTTGTATAACCTAAAAGCTCGTGTTACGGGAAAGTGAAAGAAAACACAAATTTCTCAGTCTGAAAATATTTTACTTAAATTTCCAAACATTGGAATGAAATTTCCTGGGCGAATACTTTCTTTTTACTGCCAGGCACATTTTCAGTAACTGCTTGAACAATTTGTGGCTCAGACTTCCATGACCCCTCCCACTTCTTTCTAAACCAGTTTTTAGGCATAAGTAAAATTAGGCTCTTCAAAACAAAGGTGAACCTGTCACCTCCAAGTCAATCCTTCCACTGAAGACAAAACACAAAGCTCGTATTCTCTCTACCACTTCATCTTCACCAAGAACATTTTGATTTATGTGGGTTAGGCAACAGGAAATGGGTATTTCAGATAATTATGGAAGCCATACATGAATGTGTCAGAATGAAAGTATAGTCATTTCTGTTGAAGTCACACACAGATTGATTCCTCTACTCCCTAGGTAGATGTGCCCTGCTTGTGTTTGAAGTTATTTAGAAGCTTCACGTCAGTGATCTCAGTATACAATGGACACCTCAAACATTATTCATTTTTTAATGTATGCACCAGATCAAAAGAATAAGCACTTTTGATCATCTTTCCTTGGCATGGAAGTAAACATTCACACAAACACTAGAAACATAAACTACATAATCGATTCATTTAATGTTTAATTTCTGTAAGGAATTTTTGCTTTTCTTTTATACTTTATAAATATGTTTTGTTGTTCATGCTATAGGTCTGAAGGATAAGATAAAATTATGAAATATAATATTTCATTCTGACCAAATACCACAAAACTATATGGTGGTGTTCCCATGTGAGAGATGTAAGTAAGCTTCAAATCACTCCAGATACATGCAAAGGAATAGAACAAAGAGGGTAAGAAATCTCTGTGGGCAGGCTGCATAGGTTTATAATCACACTCTGTCACAATTGCATGGAATTGGATCCAGGTTCACTTATTCCTTTATTCACAGGAAGGGAATAGGCACAACCATCCGAAGGATTGATGTGTCTGTTACAGACAGGAACATAGTAACGACTCTGACAAAATGCCTAGTTCATAGCAAAAGTCAAGAATGTGCGTTAGTTCTCAATACACAAAATCTAAATCTAAATCATTAACCTAAAATTTTGTCTAATCTAAAAGTAGAGTCAATGCTTGTATGTTTACTGCTAGTGTCAGATTGTCTAAAATAATGCTTATTTGAAAATATTTAAGAAAATATATTATCTCTACAAGTAATTGTCTATTTTATTTAATTAATCATTCTTTGCTGTCCTTATCAAATATATTTTCTAGAAACTCACCAAGTAAGTACATTTTTCTATCTGTCTATTCCTCGGGAAATATACAAATTCATATGAATCTAAAGAAAAATTTGCCATTGTTAATATGTATAAAACAGAAGATATCTGAAGCAGGCTTACATACCCATTGACTGGATCAACCACAATTCCTCTAGGATGGGACATTTCGCCTTCCAGCAGGGTTTTGCGGCTCTGAGAAGCCTTTTCCAGCCTGGCCACGTTTATGGTTTTCCGTTGACCATCATTTGTCCAGTAAAGGTTATTTCCAATCCAGTCAACTGCAATGCCTTCTACATTATCCAGATCTATAAAAATGTAAGGACAAAGAAAACCTAATCATACAATTAAAATCAAATTTATGTGCACCATTACTGATCCATTTAGTGATGAATCAGAAGAACAAAACAAAAGAAACCAACCTAAAACACACAAAGAACAATCATAGAAGAACTGAATTCTAAGATCTTTCTAGTACAATTTGGCATGTTATGCTTTCTCATAGATTTTTTAAAATTCTATTTTAAATACTTTGTTATACAAATCTCAGACCTTCTCTCATCACAAGGATTATAACGTTATAAGTGTTCATAAACTGATTATATGCTATTTTAACTGAATGCAAGCATTTTGTAACAGAAATGATCTACAAAATAAAGGAAAATACAAATTACATGAGCATAAAAGTGTAAGTACAAATGTATAAGTATGAACACAGACTTCTAAGAACACCTGCAAAAGTTATGAATATTTTGCACTTTAATAAAGAATTTCTCAAATAATTATTTTTTATGAAATCTGTCCCCTTTTTCTTCTCTTAAGTTCTTCTTCTGTCTCCCACTATTTTTCATTCTCAACCTCATGTGGTCTCTCAGTCTCTCTCTCTCTCTCTCTCTCTCTCTCCCATTGAGTATACTTGGTGCTGCCTGTACAACATTGTAAGTACCCACCATAAATTTCTGAAAGATACAGGGATAAAGCAGAGATACTAGAAGAAACTTAACGTTCATCTGGTTCAAACCTTCTATTTTACGAAATCAACACTCGAAAGCAAACTTGTGTGTTCATGGTTTCTGTCCACAAAGCTTCAGCACTCCAGAATAACTTCATAGGTTCTTTTGCCTATGCTTAAGAAAATGGCTAATTATTCTGTATTTTATTGATGTTTAGTTTACCTGAGCACTCTCTTATTCTAATAGAATGGAGAATTGCCATTTGCCCTTTTCTATTGATCATGTTTTAAGGGTGAATTTCAGAATCATATTCTATTTGAAATCAATCTCGGTATAAACAGTCAAGATGGGTGATCTTCTAGTTTTTACAATTTCACTGTTGCCACATGACTTGCAACTTTTGTGTTTTGTCACACAAAGCAGTCCCTATAACTCTTAGATGGAAATTTCATGACTTGAGTTGTAAATAAATCATCACACTGATCTATCTCTAGAGAGAAATCAATAATAGTGCCTGCCCTGAAGTTATAACCCAGGGTAAAACAACTGCTGCCCCTGCACTGAGGTCATAATCAGTGCATAGCCTGCTGCTAGTCCTGCAGGGAGGTCATAAGTGCATGGAACGCCAACTCTACTCCCTGAGATAGGGCAACTTCTTAGACCATCTTATCTATTATCAATTTTATCAAGGTTTGAAAAAAAAATATGTGTATTGCCGGGTGGTGGTGGTTCACTCCTTTAATCCCTGCACTCGGGAGGCAGAGGCTTGAGGATCTCTGTGAGTTCGAGGCCAGCCTGGTCTACAGGAGTGAGTTCTGGGACAGGTTCCAAAGCTAGAGTGAAACCCTGTCTCCACAAAAAGAAAAAAAGAAAAAGAATTTATATGGATGGTCTAGGTGTCTTACATTTTTATCTTTTATAATGCTGACTCAGTATTATTTGCTTACATTTTTACCAGTGATCCTTTTCAACTGAAAATAGTATATAGAGTGATTCAGGAAAGCATAGTAAAATTAAATTTATTTCTAAGTGGCACAGTTTGAAAGGAACTAGTGTCTAATTGTGCAGTGATGGTTCGTTTGTATTTTAATAAATAAAGCTTGGTTTGCCATAGAAACCAGGCAGTAGTGGGTGCATTCTTTTAATCCCAGCACTAGAGGGGAAAATAAAACAGGAGGAAACAGGTCTCACACAGTGTCATTCTGAGATTCTGATGGCAGGATCACCATTTTTGGTCTGAGATAGAGGTCAGAGGCAGCGGCTAGCTGTTTTTCTTCTCTGACCTTCAGGTTGAACCCCAATTTCTGTCTCTGAGTTTTCATTAATCGTGCTACATAATTGTTTTATTCTGACTTTGAAAACTGAATTGCAAGTAAGAAGTGATTACAATCACAGTAGTGAACTACTTTGTACCTTACTATCGAGATCAAGAAATAAACTATTTAATTGTTCTTCTCTACAATCCTCTTATACTTAAACATGCAAACAGAAACAGTGATTAATTCACAAGAAGTTTCTGAGGATTAAAAGAATGTTTGAAATTATTTTTATACTTAATTTCCCATTTCTTCTAAAAATATTTAACTTTGGTGAAACTATAATATTGCTTAAAACAATGCCTACTATGTAGTTAATCTGTATAAATGCTGTTTATTACTAATAGCTACTATTGTAGTCTTTTCTTTAGCCAATTAAGATAACAATAAAATACTTAGCTTAGACTGATTTTGTTAAGTTGTGGTTTTGAACCATGCTTTTAAACATTAAATCTTTGGATAGTAATCTTTGAATGTAAGTTTTCAATCAAGAAAGACCATATAAGTACTCATATGCAAAATGGAAAACTTCTTGTTTGTTTTTAGATTCAATTTATCATTATGAGTGTTTTGCTTAGTGCTATATTGGTATGCCACATTAATGTCTAGTGTCCTTGGATATCAGCAAAGAATATCAAGAATGTCATGTCAGAACTCATGAAACCAGGGTTATGGGTGCTAGTGACTCTGTAAAATTAATAAATGCTCTTATCCACTGAGCCAACTCTCTAGCCTGTATCTGTCTTTAAAAGAGCAATCAGTAATTTTCTTTCACTGGTAAAACTTAAAAAACAATTCAGTTTCTTTGGCATTGAAATTTAGTTGCTGTTGTGAAATGTTAATAAGATGGAAGGTCTCTTGTTAGACTATTAGCAAGAAAACTATGGAAATCATTAGACTTAGATAAAAGCATTAGATTGGAACCAAAGGAGCAAATATATTTAGTTTCATAAGAAGAAAGAGTAGAAGAGGAGTGTCTACACTTGTATGTCTTTGTCTGTATCTTGCTGATTCCCTGATCCTTCTCTTGAAACGTGATATCCTCTAGAAGGTTTTCAGTAGACTTAGGTCCCAGCTCTTAAATTTTCAGAACCATAAGTTGACTAAACCTATTTTTCAAACTCTTATATTGAGGCCATTGTGCTTTCAACAATGACAATTGCCTACTAGGATGTTTCATTTTGAGACACAAAGAAATGTAAAGAAGACATGGGAGAAAGTATCCCAAGGAAAGGTCTTGTATTCCTTATTTAGGAGTAACATGCAAATAGAGCAAATAAATTGCTATGCAAATTCAAATACTGATTTAATTTCTGCGTTCCAGGCTTTTGCTTTTATGTAAATCTCCTCTTGGTGTGTACTTGCTGTAGAATAATCCTTCTGTACACTGTAAATATGTATTACTCTTATTGTTGAATAAAGCCTGACAGGCAGGCAGCCAACCAGGAGTTATCATCTTCAGGACAGCCAGACATAGGGAACTCCAGGAGGTAAGACAGAGTCAAGAGAGATGTCATCCAGCCATCTAGAGAGCAGGATGAATAGATAATGAAGCGAGAAGCCATGAGCCACATGGCAAAGAATAGATAAGAATAAGAAATATGGGTTAATTTAAGTGTAAAAGTTAGCTAGTAACAAGCCTGAGTGATCAACCAAGCTTTTATAAGTATTACCAAACCTCTGTGTTAATTATTTGGGAGCAGGAGGTTGGTACAGGAGAGCTCCATTTAATGAGTAGAACTGTGCTTCATTTTGTTATCAACTTGATCAGGTCACACCATAGAAGTATCTAGTAAAGCGTCCGTCTGCCTGTTGCCTTCACAGTAGATTTACTGAGATCCTTCCTATTTGCAGTTAAATCTACAGAACTGAGTAAAACTGGCTACCCTCCACTATGTGGTTAATCTCATCCGATGAACTGAAAACGCTGAGAGATGAAAGCAAGTTCCCCACAGATAGAGTGACTGGGCTCGCAGGCTGACTATGGATTTCAACTGTCCTAGGACTCATCCCTACCTACAATAAAAATCTTACCAACTTCTACTGTCAATTCCACAAACTGATTCTTTTTTATAACATAATTTCTTTAGTGATTCTTTAGGATTTTCACATCATGTAGCTCAATACAACTCATTTCCAAGTCCCCTTGTGCCTGTACTTCATCCTTACAGCATCAACCCCCAACAAAAAAACAAAAAAACAAACCTCTTCACTTATCCATTTTTCCCGCATGCTCAACACCTTTTCATCTGTCTTATTGACATTGTGAATCAATATGTGTCACACAGTACACCCTTTTGTCCAATTGGCTTTACTTGCAGATGTTGATTGCAGTGAGTCATTGGTCTGTTCAAGGCCTCTGGTTTCTGGTACACCATCATCAGTAGAGCCTCACCAAAACTCCTTTTAGATATCCCACAACCAATTCATTCATGGACATTCTGTAGATGTCATTCCACGGGACCAGTCCCTTCATATACTAGGGCAGGTCATATTATGGTAGATGTTAGGATAGGCCAACAGAAGGTACTGGTTGTTTCCTTTGGCAGTACCTGAACAGGTCAGTCCAGGGCATTGGAGCTTCTTGCAAAGGGTGAGGTAACCTAGCACAACCCTATGAATTTATCACATATATTTCCCATGATCCCTTGTTGTAAGACAGGCCACAAACATCAACAAAGACCCAAGCTACAGCAGCTTCTTGAGCCCAGACATGGCCTTCAGAAGTAACATGAGCCCTGATGACACCATGGCTCAGGTCGGCAGCCCAAGCTGCAAAATGCCCCATTTTCTGTCTTTCCCTCATTTCTGTCTTGCTGGATTTTTTTTTTATTCCAGAGAGCACAACATTCTCACCATGTCTGTGATCAGAAAATGATTTTAATTATGATTTAGACAAAAGACCACTCTTACCATTCACTCTTGAAAATATTTTATTACATGGGGCCAAGTAGCTGCTAATTCAAGAACTCCCTAAAAATACCCAGTGCTTGCAAATTTTATTTTATGATATTACACTTTGAACTTCTGGATGAAATC